AATTACAATGCAATATAAAAGAATATCTATGCGAACCCCCAGGCTTGAATGAACAGTATGTTTATAAAAAAGATATAAAGATGTGAAAAGCTAAATAATAAATGAGAGGTTTCAAAGCAGCACATGACCAATAAACAGTCAAATAAACTGGTGAGAAGAGGATGAGTTTGTATGTCAATTAGAGTGGATGAGGAAGCCTCACTGAAGAAGTAGAAAGATGAATGGATTTGAGTGGGCAGAGATGGGAGAGGGAAAGGCCACGCGAAGGTACTACGAGACAAAGCATATGCTAAACCGAGCTTTCCGTATGTTAACTCATTGGCTGATATTTTACAGCATGCCCATCGAACTAGGAGGAGTGCTGTCCTGTTTCACCAGAAGTTCAGCGAGATTATGGCTTCAGCCAAGGCCACAGAGTTTATAGGATTAGAGCCAGCAATAGGACTGATCATGCACGCATGGTCCCAAAGGTTGTGTTCACAGAGTACAGGGTTATTTCACTTGTGAAAGACAGGGTTTTGCTGGTCAGCCATGAGCCAGAAGCACATGTGATAGAAAAGGCCCGTGCCAGGAAGTGTCTTTTCTAAGTTCACATGTTTAGAAAAATGTGGGAACAAACAGCTGACTCCACTCAAAAGGCTCGGCTGCTGATCATAAACTGGGAGAGTGTTTATGTCACGGGCAGAGCTCCCCAAGTGAATTATAGCCCTTTATGCAATATGTACGTACATTATTTCCACGGGACAAAGACCCAGGGCGTGGAAGGAATGCTGCAATTGACCTTTCTCTCGTTCTGTCCTATCTCTTCAACCTCTCCACCCATTTCAAGTCTCCAGTGCAGGACAGCTGTGTTTATCTACTATGTGGCTTTCCGATACAGCCCAGAGCTGCCACTCATTTTCAGAACACAGATTTTAAAACTGTTTCTTCTTGCTAGTATGAGAGGCTGGCTTTCGCTCTTATTACATTTAAAATGGCTCCATCTTCGTTACAGGAGAAAGCAGATTTCTTTTAAGGTTACTTCAAATGTTTTCTTTAGGCTGGTGTTAACATAAAGCAAATGTCTTTGACAGTCTGAACCAATCTGTGAAGATAAACAGGCTTCACTTATGATATTCCTATACTCAAATCACCGGCTTGCGGTCTGCAACTCCTTAAAGACTCAATTCATACACGCTAAAATGTCTACTTAAGAAAAACGTCTGGACGTGCGCACACACCCCGAGATAGCTTTGCCATGGAAACCACAAAGACACGTCTGGCTCAGGCTCCACAGTACATGCCACAAATAACGGCCCATCTTCTAAGAGCCAATCCTATGGACACCAGAGTCAAGCCCAGAAAATAAACAACTGCACAATTATAAAGCTTATTTTCCAAATGCTTTCTGAAAAATTATGTTTCAATATGTCTTAATCATTGTTACTAGTTGCATTTGCACATGTGTCATTTTGCTAAAACATATTCTGAGACTGCAGAGGTATGGTGATGTATACAACCTAGTCTGTTCCTTCAAGAAAAGTACAATTCCTTATAAAAAATGGGGTATTTCATACCGAGCAGAAGTTCTTAGCATCATCTTTGTTTGTTATCACTTAAACGTTTCCATTCCCTCCTCCCCGAGCCAAATCTGAAAGTGGCTACTAGCATTTTTTAGCATTTTACTCCAATTTTCTTGTGGTATTTTTACACAGAAGGAAAATACAAAGTCATCGGACCAAGAAGAATTGGCTCAATCATCTCATGAGCTAGCATACGACCAAGAAAGCTCATGATACTGGATGAGGAAGTCTAAACTTAACATAAGGTCTTAGTGAAAAACAAGGATCCAGGAGTTGATGGAATAACAAAGAGAGATGTTTCAAATGGCTGCAATGCTAGAACTCACTTGATTATGCCAAGAAATTTGGGAGACAGTTGGCTTGCCCATTAAGTGGAAGAGATAGGTATCTGTGCCAATTCCAAAGAAAGGTAACGCAAAGGAATGTGAAAATTATCACATGCTATCTTTAACATTACGTGAAAGTAATATTTTGCAAATGATAATTTAAAATTTAAGGTAGCTATCTATTGACACGGAACTGTAAGACATTTAAAAACTGGATTCAAGAAAAATGTTGGACCAAGGAATATCAGTGTTTATCTGCGATGGATCTTGGTTGAAAGATAATATCAAAATGATTGACTATGCAAAGGCATTTATTTGACTGTGTGAAACAAGACCATTATGGATAATAATACTATGAAAAATTAGAAGTCCAAAACACTTCAACTGTATTCATGCAGAATCTGTACATAGAGAAAGAGGTAGACATTAGAACAAAAGAAGAGGATTTTGCAGGGCTTGAAATTAGGAAAGGTGTGCATCAAATTTGAATCCATTTACCATACTTATTCAGTCAGTATTATTGTTAGGTGCTATCAAGTCAAGTACAATTCATAGTGACCCAATGAACAAAAGATCTGAACCCTGTTCTATCCTGAGCCATCTTCATATTTCCAGACACACAAGAGCCCATTGCGTGTCAATCCACCTGATTGAGGGTCTTCCTTTCCTTTGCTGACTCTCCATAATTCCCAGCATCATGTCCCTCTTCAAGGAATATCCCATCCTAGCAACATGCCTAAAGTATGTGAGGTAAGCCTCATCATTCTTGCCTCCAAAGTGCACTCTGGATGCACCCTCTCCAAGACATATTTGTTTGTTCTTTTGGCTGTCCGTGGGATATTTAGTGTTCTTCTCCAATACCACAGTTCAAATAAATTCTTGTATCATCCTTTTTCATTGTCCAGCTCTCAGATACATAGCTTGTAATCAGAAAGGTTGTGGCCACATGCAAGCAAAATACTGCTGAAGATCATTCAAAAACAGGTGGAACAGTGCATATATAGGGAACTTGCAGAAGTTCAAGCTGGATTTAGAAGAGATCATGGCACCAGAGATATCATTGCTGATGTCAGATGAATCCTGGCTGACAGTAAAGAATACCAGAAGAACATCTATTTGTGCTTTATTGACAATGCAAATGCATCTGATTGTGTGGATGATAACAAGTTGTGGCTGACATTGAGAAGAATGGGAGTTCCAGAGCAATTTAACTGTGCTCATGTGGAACCTATTCAGTCTGTATGCTGAGCAAGTAATCTGAGAATCTGGACTATATAAAGAAGAACATGGCCTCAAGATTAGAAGAAGACTCAATTATCTATAACATGAAGTTGACACAACCTTCTTTGCTGAAAGTGAAGAGGATTTGAAACACAGACAGTATAGATTATATGTAAGTATTGTTGTGTACCGTTGAGTCGGAATCAACCCATAGCTGACCCTCCAGTGGGTTTTCAGAGGCAGTTAATCTCCTGGAAAGAGACTGCTCATTATTCTCCTACAAGGAAAGGTGGATGGATTTGAATCACGTGTTTTTAGGCCACTAGTATAAAGGAAACAAATCCTCCCAATTGAGTCAAGGAACATTGTGATATAAGATTGAAGCTGTCAAGGGTTTCATTATTCCTCCATTGATTTCATTCATCCACATTGCCCATGGAAACAGTATTTAATAAACAAAACAACATCTTACACTGGGCAAATACGCTGCAAAAGGCCTTTGTAAAGTGTTAAAAACCAAAGTATTCCTTTGAGGAATAAAATGCATTTGCACCAAGACATATTTCCAGTGGCTTTATATGGATGCAAGACCTTGACAATGAAAAAGGATGGCCAAGTAGAACAAATGCCTTTGAATTATGGTGTTAGTGGAGGATACAGACTATACCATGGACTACTAGAAGAACAAAGAAATCAACCTTGGGAGAAAGTAGTACAGTTACAGTGTTTCTTAGAAGTGGAGGTGGCAAGACTTTCTCTCACATAATTTGGAAGTGTTATCAGAAGGACTGCCAAAAGAACACACACATTTGTCTTGAAAGAAGTGCAACCAGAGTACTCTTTAGAGACAAGGATGGTGAAACTTCAACTCACTGTGGGCATATTTTCAGGAGGAACCAGCCCTTGACAAGAGACATCACACTGGGAGCGGGAGAGGATCAGCCCATTAGAGGAAGACCCTCGGAGAGACAGACTTACGCAGTGACTACCACGCTGGGCGTGAGCAGGAGACAGAGATCAGACATTATGACGGCAGAGGACAGGGCAAGGTTCAGATCTGTTGCTCCTAGGGTTGCTATGAGTCGTAGTTGACTTGATGATACCTGACAACAACATCAGAAGGAACTAGTCCCTGAAGGACATCATGCTTAGTGAAGTAGAGTGTCGAAGAAGAAGAGGACCCTCAACGAGCAGGAATGACACAGTGGCTACAATGAGGGGCTCACACACTGCAAGGACTGAAAAGATGGCTGGGGATCAGGCAGTGCTTTCCTCTGTTGTACATGGTCACTGCTGTTGTTATTGTTGTTGTTGTGCACCACTGAGTAGGAACTGACCCACAGCTGAAACCTCCAGCAGGTTTTTCAAAGGCAGTTAATCGCATGAGAAGGGACTGCCCTTCTTTCTCCCGAGGAGTAGCTGGTGGATTTGAACCGTGTGCCTTTGGTATTGCAGCACAGCTTCTTACAACTAGGCCACCAGGGCAGCCTACATGGTCAGTATGAGTTGGAATTAACTGGGTAGCATCCAAAAATGACTTCTTATCTAATGTAAACAGTGAGATATATCTAGTCAATCTCGCAATCCATTAAAAAAAGAAAGCAGTTCTAGTCATTTCTGAGACCAAAGGAAATAGCAAGAAAAGGAAACACTTTTTAAGAAACAGGTTAGCTTCTTCTTGCACTAGGATTGGAGATCAGCACATTTTACCCAAAAAGGGCTAAAAAGCAAATAATTTAGGCTGTGCAGACCATGTGGTCTCTACTGCAACTAACTGCCTTTGTCACAATGAGGTAGTCAGAGAGTTAAGTCAAGGGCTGGGGTGGCTGTGCTGATCCCTAGACCAGATAAACAAGATCTTCCTTTTCAGATACAGCAATACTTTACTTACTTTGCTCTTTTGGCCATTTCATTGCCATCCCATCTGGGGCTGTATGGATAATTTTTCTGGGCCTGGGAGTAAAGTTGTCCACTGTTGGTAAAATGATAGACGGACTGAAATGTGAGAGTTGGCTGGTCTCGTGGAAAAAACAGGGGCAGGTCAACTGAAAAGAAAGAAGAAAAGAAAGTTAGGGCTTAAATACATCTTATTTGAGGCTCAGGGTCGACTTCCCTGTCTCACATGTGAGATAAAAGTCGTCCCGAAGCTTCGTCAATAAAGCCTCTTGTGATTGCAAAAAAAAAAAAAAAAAAAAAAAATACATCTTAAAGTACTTTTCTGGTCAATTCTGAGTATTGGCTATAAGACTTTATTCAAATCACAAAAACAGATTGAGGCTTAGGTACAAAGTATGGAGAGAGGGCCCAAGGGGCCCAAGGTGACTTCCCTGACTTCTAGGAGCTTATAGCTAGTCAGAGAGGCCAATCAACACATGATGAAAATGAACTAATACCAGGCATGGTGTGCAGGTGGTGAAACAAACTGAAGAACTGGTTACGGAGGTTTGTTATGGTTGTTGTTGTTATCTGCCGTCAAGTCGTTTGCGACTCATAGCAACCCTATGTACAACAGCCCTAAACCCTGCTCTATCCTATGCCAATCGCACTGCCTCTCACACACCCACCCCCATTACCCCAGTCACTGAATCAATCCACCTCATAGAGGGTCTTCCCCTCCTGTGCTGTCCCTCCACCCTACCAAGCATGATGTCCCTCTCCAAGGACCTGTACCTCCTTACAACATGTCCAAATTATGTCAGATGAAACCCCAGAATCCTTGCTTCCAAGGAGTAGCCTGGTTTAACCCTCTCCAGGATGAATCTGTTTGTTTTCTTGGCAGTCCAGGGTACATTCAATACTCTTCTCCAGCACCATAGCTCAAAGGCATCAATTCTCCTTCTATCCTCCCTAGTCATTGTCCAACTCTCTGATGCATAACAAGTGATTGCAAAGACCATGGCCTGTATCAGGCGGACCTTAGTCTCCAGAGAGACACCATTGCTCTTAAGTACTTTAGAGAGGTCCCTAACAGCAGACTTTTCCACTGCAATACGTTTTTTGATTTCCTGGCTGCTGGTGCCATATCCATGCTTACTCCCATCCTATGGCAACTCCCTTGGCTAACCCTCCAGAGAAAATCTATCTAGCTAATTACACCTATCTATCTTTTAAATTTCTATCATTAAGGGGTAGGCAATATTTTTTCTCCATCTATAATTTGGTGGAGGGAATGGGTGTAAGGATGGCCTTGAAGAATGGATGTTGGGAAGGGCATGTTTTAATCTTATTATTTCATTGTTGTTGTTGTGTACCATCTAGTTGGAACCTACCCATAGCTGATTCTCCAGTGGGTTTTCAGAGGCAGTTAATCCCATGGGAGGAGACTGCCCATCCTTCTCCCACAGAGCATCTGGTGGATTTGAACCATGTGCCTTTGGGATTGCAGCACAGCTTCTTACCACTAGGCCACCAGAGCTCCCTGTAAGGGATAACTAGCAAAAATATGTTTTTAAATGTAATCATCCTATTTCCAATTAAGCAGTGAATTTTGATACCTAGCAGCTGCAGATTTTTCCATTTGTGTTATCACATATGTATTATACACTTCCCTAAAAACCACCACCACCAGTGTTAGCTCCTTAACAGAATACGACAGGGACTAATCTGAACACCAACCATGACTGCTCTTACAGTATCTGCTCATTCTAATCATTGCTGTTAACAGGTACTATGTGCACTGTATTCTCATTTTTAACTTCTTCAATCACATTTAAAAAAAAAAAAAGGACTTGCCTATTTTCATTGGAAAACAATTTCATTAGGAATGTGGCACCTTCTTAAAATTGTATATACGTATACACCTTTGTCTGACTACTTAGTGGTAAGGAACTATGTTGCCAACTCAAAGGCATGAAGTTCGAATCCTCCAGCTGCTTTGAGGGAGAAAGATGGACCATCTCCTGTGTGATTTACTGCCTCTGAAAACCTACCAGCGGATCGGCTATGGGTCATTTCTGACTCAATGGGTCACAACAGCAGCAGCAACAACAACAACAAATCTAGTTCTAAGACAAAGAAAAGACACATTCATTCATAAAAAAAGTGTATTTATTATTTTAATATAATGTGATACTAATACCTCCATGACACAGGCATTCTTTTCCACCATCTCCACTTAACAGATGACCAAATTTGACGGTCCAAGAGGTTTATGAACTTGTGCATATCACAATGAGGCAGAGGCAAGGCTCAAAGTCACTTTTACAGCTCAAATTCGAAGTTCTTTCTATTATGCCACATAGCTTTCTGCTCTTACAGATAATGATGTGGGCTGCTAACAACCAACTCACCGGGTCATAATTACAATTTAGTAAATGAAAGCCTCCATTGTGAAAAGTGCACAGGGTTCACCTGGGTTTGGTATGGCCTAGTGGTAAGAAATTGCCCTGCAATCCTGAAGGCATGCAGTTTGATTCCACCAACTGCTCTGTGGGAGAAGGATGGGCAGTCTCCTTCCCTGCAACTAATGGCCTCTGAAAACCCACCAGAGGGTCACTATGGATCGGTTGCAACTCAACAGTACACACAAGACAAATCTCTCTCTCCACCTAAATTGTTGCTGGGTGCTTCCAACTAGATTTTCAACTGACAGTGACTCTATGTGACCAAGATGAGTTACCTCCTAGGGTTTTCTAGGTCATCATGGCCAGGTCTTTCTCCTGTGAAGTTGCTATACATCTGGATGGGTTTGAACTGCCAATTTTTGGATTTGCAACATAGTGTTTAATCCTTATACTACCAAGAGTTCCTTAAGATACAAATCATAGTAGGCAGTTTTATCTCTATCACTGCTCTCTCTACTGTGAGAGACTTGGATTAGGCTTTCCAAGCATTCAATATGGTATCATAAAGGAAAAGTTAAGTTCACTGTGAACTTAAAATAAACCCCCTATAACAACAAAGTGGTAGGGCCTCTTAGCCCTCTGAGTACACCGGCCTCTTGAGGATCACTGACTCAGTGCTGTAGGGGGTTTTGACATATGAATCACACCACACCAACCAAAGGCGAGTGGCAAGATTCTGACTGTCCACCCTTTACTCACACTTTCCACGGGCCTCAGTAAGGCAGTTACAGTGCATGCCTATTGGAGCCAAAGCCAGAGATTTAATAACATATAATAGCAACACAAAAGATGAAAAAGATGAATTCAAATTATAAATAATTCAACTCCGAAGAGCCTTTTGAATCACTGCATATATAAAGCATGATCTGTACCATCTTCAGGCCTTTTCAACAAATAATGCTTTCTAAAATTAAGTTTATGTCCTTTCTTATTACTCATTTCATTTCCTCCGATTAATTTGGAGGGGGAAAAATGGCTATTCACATATACTTTAATTTGACTTCAATTATGTTTACATTATGTGTCGGTTTCTAAATATAAAACCTAGTCCAAATTAACCTTCCAAGCAATCACCAAAAACAGAAAAGTATTTTATATGCAATCTTCATTCAAAAAAGCAACAACTTTAGATAATAAAATTCAACCGCGATGATTTAGAAATATAGAGCAAATACAGTCACCATTTAGTATCAAAATATTGCAGTTAATACTACATTCTACACATTTTCCAACCTACTGGCTTTTAAGGGCTTTGGGATGCATAATAAATGCAATATAAACAGCTTTTGTTCTTATTATTTTGTCTTACAGGAAATGAGTATTACTGTGTTAGTTCTTTCACATACTGAAAAATTTTACTGGGTTATCATGCATCTCCTTTGACCGCTAAAATGCTCAATTATCATCAGAAACAATTTAAAATGTGTCAATTCTAATTAAAAAATATGATGGCAAGCTATATCCTGGTATCACTATTTTCTGAAGCACTGATTACAAGATTGTTTCTCAGTGGAGGGTTGCCTAACAAAGCATACTTGAAGGCAATATTTAAATGGAATACTTTCTCTGGATGCACAATGGCTGGATTCCCAGAGAAGCAGGAGTGGTCAGAGTACCCAAGATAAAAACCCACCTATTAATTTATATATGTGAAAACAGAAAGAAAATACACAAGTATCTTGTCCAATTTGATTGTATTTTGTCTGAGTTAGTCAATAATCAACAAATGAATGCCTTTTAAAAAATGCTTTATGCATAAGAATGAATTTTAAGTGAAAATATTTATGAGAAATATTTTGCATTCTTCTTACCAGAATGATTTCAATGATACAAATTAGTTAGAAAAAATATAAAAACAGAAAACATACACATACAATATGTTTTCCTCATAGCTAAATGCTTCTTTCTGTCACATTTGGGCTTGTGAATTAACTCATGATTCTAACACATAAAAACAAGGAATAACACCTTTAAGCCTTGAAACAACTAACTTGTTCTGAAAGTACCTTCTGGGTTAGTAGCACTCTGAGCTCATAACAGATACTGCAAAATGCAACATTTTAAACCTTTGTTCCTTGGAACATAACCCACTTAATGGCCAAGGTCTGTAGTCTCTGGGTAGTCATTCCCTTTAATTCAATTATTCCTTGTCAGGAGGACTTTGACAACTGCTTCCTATTTCCTTCTTCCTGTATTGAGAGATTGAATTCTGGTTGGCTCCTGAGCCATGGAAGAGATGGCCTTCACTTGTTGAGTCGAATTTCAATAATGATTTCTGAAGCACTGCTTTCCCCCTCAGCTTGTTGACACAATCACACCCAAACAATTCTGCACAATCAGTACAGCCCACAAGACTTGCCCTTGGGGCTTGGGCTTTCTGGAGGGGGCAGCAATAATCAACTCTGCCTAGTTTTCTGACAAGGTGTCAGCTGGTCTGTCCTCAGGGAGGGTCAGCCTCTGTCTGCAATGTCGGGTTCCGTGGGTCACCGTCCCAAATCTAGACGGACTCTCTATGCAAGAACCACGTGCACACAGCTTTGGAAGGTAACTCAAGGCAAAACAAACAAACTTGGCTGCTTTTTCTAAACCACTCTCAGGTTCAGGTGGACAAATAACAAATTTAACTGCTCCTAAAGTGCACATCCTTTCAACATGAAGAAAATGTCTGAAATGGTATCCAAAATTGCCAAGACTCTCTGGAC